AAATTGAAAATCGAAAAACTGAAAATTCGAAAAATTTAGAAGTTAATTGAAAAATAGGATAATTGAAAAATCATAAACTGAAAAAACAAAAATTGAAAAACTATAAGATTGAAAAATCGAAAATGTGAAAAATCGAAAATGTGAAAAATCGAAAAATTGCAAATTCGAAAAATTTAGAAATAGATGACTTGAAAAATGAGAAATTTATTGAAAATTCATAAAGTGAAAAAAATAATAAATTAAAAAAACGAAATACATATATAATAAAATATCCACAAATCGCAAATCCGAGAAACTGTAAAAGAAAAACACAAAAAAAATTTAAATCGAGAAAAATAAAAAATTACATCATTGTAAAATTGAAAAATCGAAAATATAAAAAATCAAAATATAAAAAATTCGAGATATTTAGAAACAGACAGTTCGAAAAATCGGAGAGTTGAAAAATCATAAATTGAAAAAAAGTTAATAAATTAAAAAAAAGACCACTTGTGTTTTATTTTTGAAGTGTTTAGAAGTGTCTGGTTTTTGAAGTAGTTTGAAAGAATCTCGGAAACCACTTGTGATTGGTTTTTGAAGTATGTAGTTTGAAGGAATCTCTTTATCTGCTTCCTTTGTCTGTTTTTAGAAATATTCTGGAAAAATCTTATGGACGTTTATTTTTTAAGTAGGGACCTCTTGTGTGTACGTTTTGAAGGAATTTGAAGGAATCTCGGGGACCTTCTGCGTCTGCTTTTTGAAGTAGTGTGAAAGAATCTAAGGGGCCATTTTTGTTTTCTTTTTGAAGTACTTAGTTTGAATGAATCGCAGGGACCTCTTGTGTCTACGTTTTGACGGAATTTGAAAGAATCTCGGGGACTTTTTGAGGATGCTTTTTGAAGTAGTTTGAAAGACCCTCGGGGGCCTCCTGTGTCTAGTTTTTGATATAGTCTGAAAGAATCTCGGAGACCACTTTTGTTGTTTTTGAAGTAGTTTGAAAGAATCTCGGGACCATCCTGCGTCTAGTTTTTGAAGTAGTATGAAAAAATCTAGGGGACCATTTTTGTTTTGTTTTTGAAATAGTTTGAAAGAATCTCAGGGACTTCTTGCGCCCGGGTTTTGAAGTAGTTTGAAAGAATCTGGAGCACCTTTTTTGTTCTGATTTTGAAGTAGTTTGAAAGAATTTCGGGGACTTCCTGTGTCTGGTTTTTGAAGTAGCGTAAAAGAATTTAAGGGACCATTTTTGTTTTGTTTTTGAAGTACTTTGGATGAATCTGAGGGACCTCTTGTGTCTACGTTTTGAAGGAATTTGAAAGAATCTTGGAGACCACTTTTGTTGTTTTTGAAGTAGTTTGAAGGAATCTGGAGCACCATTTGGTTCTGATTTTGAAGAAGTTTGAAAGAATCTCGGACCCCACTTGTGTTTTATTTTTGAAGTATTCAAAAGTGTCTGCTTTTTGAAGTAGTTTGAAAGAATCTCGAGAACCCTTTGTGATTGGTTTTTGAAGTATGTAGTTTGAAAGAATCTCGGGGACCTTGTGTGGTTTTTGAAGTATGTAATTTGAAAGAATCTGGGGGGCCTCCTATGTCTAGTTTTTGAAGCAGTCTGAAAGAATCTCGGGGACCACTTTTGTTGTTTTTGAAGTAGTTTGAGAGAATTTCGGAACATCCTGTGTCTGGTTTTTGAAGTAGTTTGAAAGAATCTGGAACACCCTTTTTGTTCTGATTTTGAAGTAATTTGAAAGAATCTCGGGGACCTCCTGTGTCTGGTTTTGAAGTAGCGTAAAAGAATCTAAGGGACAATTTTTGTTTTGTTTTTGAAGTACTTAGTTTGAATGAATCTCAGGGACCTCTTGTGTCTACGTTTTGAAAGAATTTGAAAGAATCTCGGGGACTTTTTGAGGATGCTTTTTGAAGTAGTTTGAAAGACCCTCGGGGGCCTCCTGTGTCTAGTTTTTGAAGGAGTCTGAAAGATTCGCGGAGACTACTTTTGTTGTTTTTTAAATAGGTTGAAAGAATCTCGGGAGCATCCTGTGTATGGTTTTTGAAGTAATGTGAAAGAATCTAGTGGACCATTTTTGTTTTGTTTTTGAAGTAGTTTCAAAGAATCTCAGGGACGTCCCGTGTCTGGTTTTTGAAGTAGTTTGAAAGAATCTGGAGCACCATTTTTGTTCTGATTTTGAAGTAGTTTGAAAGAATCTCGGGGACTTCTTGTGTTTGGTTTTTAAAGTTGTTTCAAAGAATGTCAGGGACCCCTTGTGTCTAACTTTTGAAGTAGTAGTAGTTTTAAAGTATCTCGGGGGCTTCCTATGTCTGGTTTCTGAATTTGTTTGAAAGAATTTCGGGAACTCCTGGACTGTGATTTTTGAAGTATGTAGTTTGAAAGAATCTCGGGGATCTCCTGTGTCTGGTTTCTGAAGTAGTCTGAAAGAGTCTCGTGGACCATTTTTGTTTTGTTTTTAAAAGTATTTTGAAAGAATCTCGGGGACCTCTTATGTCTAGTTTTTGAAGTAATTTGAAAGAATGCCGGGGACTCCTTGTGTCTAATTTTTGAAGTAGTTTGAAACAAAGTCAGAGGCCATTATTATGGTTTTGAAGTAGTTTGAAAGAATCTCGGGGAGCCCCTATATTAGGTTTTTCAAGTAGTTTGAAAGAATCTCGGGGGTTGCCTGTGTCTAGTTTTTGAAGTGCTCTGAAAAGAGTCTCGGGGACCATTTATGTTTTGTTTTTTGAAGCAATTTGAAAGAATATCGGGGACTTCTTGTGTCTAGTTTTTGAACTAGTTTGAAAGAATATCGAGGACCATTTTTGTTTTGGTATTGAAGTAGTTTGAAAGAGTCTCGGAGATTCTTGATATGCCTAATTTTTGAAGTATGTAGGTTTTTAAAGTAATTCGAAAGAATCTCGGGACCATTTTTGATTTGGTTTTCAAGTATGTAGTAGAATCTCGGGGAGCCCCAATGCTCCGTTTTTAAAGTAGTTTGAAAGAATCTTGAGGATTTCTTGTGCCTAATTTTTGAAGTAGTTTGAAATAATCTCAAGGGTCCCTTTTATTTTGTTATTGAAGTAGTTTGAAAAAATCTTGGGGACCAGTTGTGTCTGCTTTTGAAGGACATAGTTTGAAAGAATCTCGGGAGCGTTCAGTGTCTGCTTTTTGAAGTAGTCTGAAAGAGTCTCGGGGACTTCTTGTGTCTAGTTTTTGAAGTAGTTTGAAAGAATATCGAGGATCATTTTGGTTTTGGTTTTGAAGTAGTTTGAAAGAGTCTTGAAGATTCCTCATATGCCTAATTTTTGAAGTACTTTGAAAGAATCTCGGAGACCTCTTATGTTTAGTTTTTGAAGTAATTTGAAAAAATCCTGGGGACTTATTGTCTGCTTTTTGAAGTAATTTGAAAAAATCTTGGGGATTATTGTCTGCTTTTTGAAGTAGTTTGAAAGAATCTTGGGGATCACTGTTGCCTGCTTTTTGTAGTGGTTTGAAAGAATCTCGGGGACCACTTTTGTTCTTTTTTTTTTTTAATAATTTGAAAGAATCTCGGGGATCTCTTGTGTCTCGTTTTTGAAGCAGTTCGAAAGAACCTCGGGAACTACTTTTGTTTTTGTTTTGAAGTAGTTCGGAAGAATCTTGTGAGTTCTTTTGTGCCTGGTTTTTGCAGTAGTTTGAAAAAATCTTGTTTTGCATGGGCAATTTGTAAAAATTTTCAGGATTATCATGTGTTTGTATCCCTATATTTTATCGAAACATGAACACAATAGCGTTTACATCAAATCTCAAAACAAATAATTTAAAAAATTTATAAATAGTCGTCTGAAACCGAAATAAACTAACTCGGAAGAGATAAAATGCTGTCAGCGAGTTTCTGGGTTAGAATTAATCGTCGGCATAATCTGACATTCACGAACACATTTGGCAAGTGCAGTTCTAAAACCGCAGCCAATTCTGATTTCAGCACCACTTTTAGAACGTCCTTACGTCGTCGAATAGATAATCCAGCTAGAATTTATATCATATACTTAATTTACAAAAGCGAAAATTCCCCCCGTGTATCCTTGGGCGAGTTCAAGTGCACGTTTGTTATCAGAAAAAGGCGCGGTTGCGTGAGGAGTATAATTGATAATAACAAAACATTTCATTGATATTCAAACCGGGGAATTTTTCCCACCGAATATAATAGACGCTATTGACAAATTATGTCATCAAAGTTAGATAAATAATAACGGCCATAAATTTAATTATTGTATCATCGCTAATAATACGTTCGGAGCGCAGACAGCAACTAGGAATATATTAATGTGTGAACTCATTAACTTTATTATCGATAAATTCCCGATATATTTTACTACAACGTCATTAAAAGAAAATCAATTTTTATTGTGCCAGATTTAATTAGGATCCGACAACAAAATAGCGCACACCGATAAATTCGATTTTATCAGCACGAAAAAAGTAATAAAACTGGAAACCAGTAACTAGCGCCGTAAAAGCGTCATGATAAATAGATGCAAGGCCGATTTCCCGAAAACATAAAAGCCTATGGGACGGCCATACGTTCCAGATAATAGAAATTAAAATATGTTTTTCAATTAAAGCTGCATCGAGCGCTGATCGGAAGCGAAATTTAAAATGCAATAAATCCGCCCGAAATGCAGAGTTTTAGTTAGCATTTATGGGAGCAAATGAACGAGCGTTATTGTTGTGAAATACAATAACCAAATGTTGGAATTATAATTAAAACACGTAACTACCAGTATTCGCATCGATTTCGCCGTTAATACAAGCATGAACTCATTACAAATAATTGCATTATCATGAAATAGCCTGTGACAGCAGGTGCATGTTCAAAATTAAAATTTATCGCAAATTCTTTCGCCGTGAATTACGGCCAGACATAAAGCTGCTATAAACACGGCCGTTCGGGTAAATTTAATGAAACGCTAGTTGCAAATATAAAGTGGCCGCAGCGTTTCGAATCACTTTGTGTGCACCTATTTAACAAAAAAAAACCATCTCGACTACTTACCATCACGTAATGCCTCTGGATTTCGATTTTCTCGCTGGCCAATTTTTCGCATTCTAGCTTCAAGCTGGAACAGAAACGCAGAATCAGTATGGCCGAAAACCGTAACAGCTTTCGGTAAACAAAAAACGGGGCCCAGGTAGACAACCGCAGAAACAATTATGGTTTGCAAACATGGGCTGAACGCACCGAATTTTCGAAATTGTTTTGAAGTATGGCAAAACAGCAACTGTTTATTTTTCGTGATTCGTTCGGCGCGGTTTCGTCACACGAATCAGACAATACAATTTTGTTTTTAAAACAACTCGTTACGGTTCCAAATTTTATGTAAATAACGCCGTAAAAAAGTTATTGCTCGGAGTGTAATGTTCGTGCATACAGTGTGCAAACTACTGACAAATGCGATAACGTGGAAAATTGGAATAATACAGGTGGAATTGGGTCGAGTGGCAGTAACAAATGCTGATTTGAAAGTGTACATGAACTGACTTTGTATGTGGTTTTTCATCTCAACTGGATCAGACTAATCACAAAACTACCATTTATATCTATTCAATGCAAACTGAACTAACAAATTAGAAAATCGTCTATTTTTTCAATATCATACACTTATCGTTTTAGCCAAAAATAATGGCAGAGTTTGTACTATATTAAATCTTATAATTTTTTGACAATAATCGCAACGATGTTGTTCTCTTTTATCGGGTCAGTTTCCAAATTTAATTTTTATCAGTTGGCAATGTTGTCCCTATGTCATCTAATTCAGAGCCTTTTAATATTTAAACATATTTTTGTATCACTTTTCTTCAATGAACTGAGTTTGTTTTGATTTGTCATACAAAAAAAAAATAATGAAATATACATCATACAAAAAATTATTGGTCTCACGTAATTTCGCTAGAAGTTATTTATTTTTTAATTTGAAATTTATTTTGAAAAACCTAGTCATTTTAATATACAGGGTGAGTCACTAAGCGCATGGTCCTCAATATTTCATTAATTATTATTATAGAGAGAAAAAAGTCATAGTCGGTTCTTTCATTATTTTAAACTATACAAAGTGTTCAGTTTTGTTACAATATTCTGGCGAAGTATAAATAAAGGTAAGCGCTTTGTTGTGGTTCGAATTAACTCAAATTTTACTATACTGAGTGTTTATAAGAAATTCGAAACCGTTCCAATTTTCAAATATCAATACGTATCACAGTTTTTTGAAATAGAATACCCTGTATTTTATTACTACAATTTACTCAATTTTTTGTTCTCATTCTTCCAACACGTCGATGTCTCTTAAAAAAGTAAAACAGTAACTACCAACTTTAAACATGGACAATACTTACAAAAATTAAAGAGAACAAAAAATAGAATAAGATGGAGTAATAAAATACACACTTGAAAAAACTGAAATATCGACCTTTGAAAATTCTAAAAATAAAAAAATATATAAATACTCTGTCCATGAAGATTAATTTTATTTAACCACAACAAAATGCGTTTCTTTATGTAATACAGATTTTAAAATTTACTCTACTACGATTTTTTTGCCAACATGGCAACCTCGCATCGCAACTCCAAGAAAAAACTGTGGTTTTAAGGCTTAAATAAAAGTCAATCAAAATATGAAAAAATTTGTATATACGAGGTATTTCAATAAAAAGAACAAAGTTAAAAAGAAACGTACAACTTTGATCTTTGACTTTTTATCAAAGAATGCGTGCTTAGTGACTCATCCTGTATACATATATAGTACACTAATACGACATATTTTTTTTAACTGAAAACATAAATGAAAAATATATTTTTTATATCCATTCATTTATAAGATGACGTTATCAATTCTTCGAAAAAATTCTTTCACGACTTTTCAATTTTTAATTTTTCAATTTATGCATTTTTCAATTTTTCCTGTCTTCAATTTTTCGACTGCAATTTTTCTTTTTGTATTTTATTTCTTGTATTTTTCCAAATTTTCGGTTTTTCAATCTTCTGATTTTATCTTTTTTCTGTTTTTCAATGTGAAATTTCAATTTTTTCATTTTCAATTTTACAATTTTACGAAAACCAACTCTTCGAGGTTTCACTTTTAGATTTTTCAGTTTCGATTTTACAATTTTTGTATGTTGCAATTTTTAAATTGTGCAACTTTTTCATCAGTAATTTCACGATTTTCAATTTTTCGATTTTCCAGTTTTTGACTGATTCAACTTTTTCATTTGCAAATTTTCGTTTCGGTTTTTTATTTTCTTCATTTTTCGATTATCCAATGTTTGAATTTTATGTTTTCTGCTTCTTTCAATTTCAATTTTTTCAACTTTTCGTTTCATCAATTTTTCAGTTTTACGAAAACAAACCCTTCGAGGTTACATTTTAAAATTTTTCAGTTTTTCGATTTTCCAACTTTTGAACGTGTCAAGTTTTAGATTTTGCAACTTTTTGATCTGCAATTTCATTATTTTTAATTTTAGTTTCGATTTTTAATTTTCTTTATTTTTTCAATTTTCCAGCTTCACAATGTGCTGATTTTATAATTCTTCTTTCTTTCAACGTGAAATTTTTCAATTTGTGGATTTTTCAATTTTTCGATTTGCAATTTTTCGCTTTAAAATTTTCAAAATTTTAGGCTTTTTCATTTTTCGTTTCCTTAATTTTTGGTTTGTAATTGTTCTAATTTTCATTTTAAAGATGTAAGAATAATTACTTTTAAACTTTTTCACTTTTCAGTCCTACGATTTTTTAATTTTTCCATTTTTAATTTTTCAATTTTTCGATTCTTCAATTTTTCATTCCTTCTAATTTTCGATTTGCATTTTTTTTTCTTTACTTTCACAATTTATTGTTTTTCCAATTTCACTTTTTCGATATGGAAGATTTCGTTTCGATTTTTTGTCCAATTTTTCGGTTTTTCAATGTTTTAAATTTATGATTTTTCTTTTTTTCAATGTGAAATTCTTCAATTTTCGGATTCTTGAATTTTTTTTATTGCAATTTTTCAGTTTTCACATTTTTCGTTTTTTCAACTTTTAGATTTTTTAATTTTTCGTTTCCTTAATTTGTGATTTGGCATTTTTCTAGTTTACATTTCAAATATGTAATAATAATTTTTAAAATTTTCCCTTTTCAAAGTTACGATTTTAGAATTTTTGGATTTTTCAATATTCCCATTTAATATTTTTTTGTTTTTTCAATTTCAATTTTTCGTTTAAACATGTTTTGAATTTTTCCAGTTTTAATTTTTCTATTTTTCGATTCTTCAATTTTTCATTTCTTCTAATTTTCGATTCGCAATTTTTCGTTTCGGTTTTTTTATTCATTAACTTTTACATTTTTTTGTTTTTTCAATTTCACTTTTTTTAATTTTTCGTTTCTTCAATTTGCCAACAGACATTTTCATTGTCTGTTGGAAAATAAATTCTATTTATTATTATTACTATTATTAATTTTTCGATTTAAAAGTTTTCGTTTCGGTTTTTCAATGTTTTAAATTTATGATTTTTTTTTTCAATGTAAAATTCTTCAATTTTTGGATTCTTGAATTTTTTTAATTGCAATTTTTCAGTTTTTAATTTTTCGATTTTTCAACTTTTAGATTTTTTTAATTTTTCATTTCTTCAAATTTTCGATTTGCAATTTTTCGTTTCGGATTTTTATTTTCTTTATTTTCACAATTTTTCGATTATTCAATGTTTGGATTTTATAATTTTCTGTTTTTTTTTTTAATTTCAATTTTCTTCCATTTTTCGTTTCTTCAATTTTTTAATTTTACGAAAACCGATTCTTCGAGGTTTAATTTTTAAATTTGACACTTTGTCGATTTTCCAATTTTTGAATGTTTCAATTTTTAGGTTTTGCAACTCTTGATCTGCAATTTTTCGATTTGAAAATTTTCGTTTCGGTTTTTAATTTTCTTTATTTTTTCAATAATTTGGTTTTTCAATGTACTGCTTTCCAAATTTTTCGGTATTTCAATTTTACATTCTTCAATTTTTCGATTTTTCAATTTTTCGTTTCAAAACAAAGGTAAACCGGAACACTCTGTATAGTTAAAAATAATTATTTTAGAGTATTGTCGTCAAAGAACCGTACAGCTTTGATCACAAATAGGCGTTTTTGGCAAAACTGAAAACATGAATGAAAATATATTTTTTAAGACACATTTATTTATTAAGATGACGTCACCAATTCTTTGAATAAATTCTTCCACAAGTTTGCAATTTTTAATTTTTCAATTTTTGTTATTTCTTTTCGAATTTTTTCAAAATTTCAGTTATTCAGTCTTCTGATGTCATCATTTTGTTTTTTCAATGTGAACTTTTTCAATTTTTAATTTTTCAACTTGCAATTTTTTGGTTTTCAATTTCTCGATTTTTCAACTTTCAGATTTATAATTTTTCGTTTCTTTAATTTTTGATTTGCAATTTTTCTAATTTTCATTTTAAATAAGTAATAACTATGACTTTAAAATTTTTCACTTTTCCATTTTAGAATGTTTCCATCCTTAATTTTTCAATTTCTCGGTTCTTCAATTTTTCATTTTTTCAAATTTTCGATTTGCAATTTTTCGTTTCCGTTTTTCATTTTCTTTTTTTTACAATATTTAGATTATTCAAAACGTATTTGTTTTTCGATTTCAATTTTTCAATTTTACGGAAAGCAACTCATCGAACTTTCATTTTGAAATTTAATAGTTTTTTGCAACTTTTTGATCTGCAATTTCACGATTTTCAATTTTTTGATTGCTTCAATTTTTCAATTTGCAAAATTTTTATTTCGGTTTTTAATTTTCCTTGGTTTACCAAAATTCTGGTTTTAAAATTTTTCGTTATTTTACATTTTTCAGTTTCTCAATTTTTCAATTTTTAGTTTCAAAACAAAATGGAACACTCTGTATAGTTAAAAATTATTTTAGAGTATAGTCGTCAAAGAACAGTTCAATTTTGATCTTTGCCGAAAACATATTTAGTTGAAAAATGTATTTTTTAATACACCATTATTAAGATGACGTGATCAATTCTTTGAAAGAAACGAATAAACAAAATTTGTTAACAGTCTATAATCACTAAGTCAATGGTAATTAGTGACTTAAGAAAAATTCTAAAGAAATCCATTATGTGGTTTCATTAGATATTCATTAAAGTATTAAAAAATCATTGTATGTTAATTTTAAACACCACACTATTTTTATTAGACATCGCATCCTGAAGGCAAAGTGAAAACAAATAAATTACAATCTCTCAAAACTGATTTATTTTTTAGTACAATTCTCAAGCCATTAAAAGTAATTTCGATATTCATTAGATAGGTAGGAAAAAGTCAAAAACGAAAGCTGTACGATTCTTTCTTAAATTATTTTTACCTATACAGAGTGTTGAAAAAAAATATTGAGTTTAATAAAAACTATGTTGTTTTATAAAATATTCAATATCCTTACAGCCAACCGATGGGACACCCTGTATATATTTTTACGGTTCAGTTACTTATAATTAGTTAAACAGATGAGTTCATTCCATAAACAAAAAAAAACTGAACCCCGTTTTTATTGCTATTAATTTGAAAGACCCTACAACTGTGTATAGTTGTTTTTTTTTTTTTTTTGTTACGGGAAGTTATTAGGTCGAGCACGCATTTTAATTACAATAAACTAATGAGTGCTCCCCGCGTCTTTCTTCGGTTGTAGCGTAAAATTTGTTGAGAATCCAGCTAATAAATTATGTAGCGAATGCAATTATGAAACCGAAACTGCCAGCTTATTTGAAAAAAGGTGTACATTAATCATGGCTGAAGATACATGTTTCCGAGCACCAAACAAGTCTGTACAATTAATTAATCAAGCAATTAATTTGGAAAAAGTCCTGCCTTTATGACAAAAATAAATTAATCGGCAAATAACGACGCCATAATAATAGGTTAATTTAATGATCAGCCGGACAAGGGAATCGGTAGCATGTAAAAAATGTTATCTTAAGTGAGGACATTTCATGGTTATTTTTATGTTTTTAGAAGTGGAAATACAAGTTCCACTAGACAAGTTACCAAATACAAGTAGATTATTTTAATGGATGAACTCGCCGCCGAAAAGCCGAGAATATTTAAAAACCAATTACAATTTTTCAAAGAAATATAAATTAGAAATACTAAAAGCATTCCGCGCACGTCTGAATAATCAACACATTTCGGAAAATGTTTACGAATTTAATACCGACGGTACTCTAATTAACAAAACAAAAATTCCCGCCGATTTCCACGTGTGCACAAACATTTCTTCATTATGCTAAGCAGTTTTTTCGAATTCAACCAGCATTGACGTTGGCCGATTACCATGAATTACAACGAGCCATCGCAAAAACAATGTGTTATTATGTGGCCGTATAATTATCGGATCGATTCCAATAATAAGGGCGCAGTAAATATTAGGCCCGCTTCAAGGTCTTCCCGAAGACATAATAACACCTATCGACTTCCACACAACGCGTAATCGCCACGCGAGCCACTCACTTGTGGTACTGCGCCTGCAGAAAGTTGAACTCTTCCTTGATCCTGTCACACGATTCGCCCACTGTGAATTTGAAAGGCTGTCCAGGTTGCGGGGGACCCTGCAAAAACAAATTCATGTTAAAACACGTATAATTAACCTTCGCCGCACGTAATATGCATTTAATTATCACCGGAGGCCGAAATAAAACATTTATGCTAAACGCGGCCTGATACAATCAACAGATGATAAACTGAGCCCCGCCGAATTGGTAATTGCACATGATCACATGATACAGTGGAAATATCTGAATCAATCAATCCGACCCTTGTTAATGCAGGCGGCGGCGAACAAGCGAGCATCGAGTAAACGCATACAGGGTGCAGGTCGGGTCGGGTTTAACCTCAATTTTACGAGGTCGACAACTGCGAACAACATGGAGGAACTCTAGTTTAGTAGCACCACGTGACGAATCACAGAGCAAATTGGTCGAGGGTTATTTCGATGGAACTTCCCTCGCCCCTGAAGTGCAACCCAACAAATCGTGCTTCTTTGAAAAATTATGAAAATTGTTAGCGATTTTTATGTTGATAACTTCTACAAAGTGGCCTAAATAAGTCACTTTTTTTTGACACAAATTTTTAAATGTTTCAATTTTTCATTTCATTTTTCTTGTTTTCCGATTTTTCAATCTTCCAAATTTCAATTTTTTTAAATCTTTAGATTTTGCAATTTTTCGATCTGAATTTCTCAAGTTTTAAATGTCATTTTTCAGCTTCTTCAATTTTTCATTTTTTCAAATTTTCCATCTGCGGTTTTTCGTTTCGGTTTTTTATTTTCTATATTTGTGTTCCTACTTTTGAAAATTTTTTTTGTTTTTTCTTTTTACGATATGTAACTCTTCGCGTTTTTATTTTTAAATTTTTCACTTCTTCAATTTTCCAACTTTTGATGATTCAATATCCAATTTTTCAATTTTTCGATTTTTAATTTTTTCATGTTTTCAATTTTACGTTTCGGTTTTTTATTTCTTTAATTTTTCAATTTTTCAGCTTTTCAATGTGATGATTTTATAATTTTTCTTTTTCTCAATTTGTGGATTTTTCAATCTTTCGATTTGCAATTTTTGGTTTTCAATTATTTGATTTTTCAAATTTTAGACTTTTTCAATTTTCGTTTCTTTCATTTTTGACTTGTAATTGTTCTAGCTTGCATTTTAAACATGTAAAAATACTTATGTATTTTAAACTTTTTCCTGTTTTAAATTTTACGATTTTTGAAATTTTTCTTATTTTAACCTTTACAATTTTAGGATTCTTCAATTTTTTAATTTTCCATTTGTTTTGCTTTTTTTTTCAATTTACGATATGCAACTCTGCGCATTTTCATTTTCAAAATTTTCACTTCTTCAATTTTCCAACGTTAGATTCAATACTTAACTTCTCAATTTTCGATTTTTCATTTTTTCATATATTCAATTTTCTCTGTGGATTTTTCAATTTTTCGATTTTCTAAATTTTTAGACTTTTTCAATTTTCGTTTCTTTCATTTTTGATTTGTAATTGTTCTAGTTTTCATTTTAAAGATGTAAAAATGATTATTTCCAAACTTTTTCCACATTTCAATTTTTTGATTTTTGAATTTCTCCATTTGAAACTTTTCAATTTTACGATTCTTCAATTTTTCATTCTTGTCGATTTGCAATTTTTCGTTTCGCTTTTTTTATTTTCTTACTTTTACAATTTTTTGATTTCTCAATTTCACTTCAATTTTTCGATTTGGAAGCTTTCGTTTCGATTTTTTATTCAATTTTTCGGTTATTCGATGCTCTAATTTTACGATTTTTATCTTTTTCAATCAGAAATTTTTCAATTTTCAGGGTTTCCAATTTTTTTTAATTGAAATATTTCAGTTTTCAATTTTTCGATTTTTCAACATTTAGATTATTTAATTTTTCATTTCTTTAATTTGTGATTTGCAATTTTTCTAGTTTTCATTTTAAATATGTAATAATTTTTAAAATGTTTCACTTTTCAATTTTACGATTTTGGAATTTTTACAAATTTCGATTTTTCAATATTCCGATTTATTTTTTTTGTTTTTTTTTAATTTGAATTTTTCGTTTGAACATGATTTGAATTTTCCCAGTTTTAATTTTTCAATTTTCGATTCTTAAATTTTTCATTTCTTCCATCTTTCGGTTTGCAATTTTCCGTTTCGGTTTTTTTATTTTCTTTACTTTTACCGTTTTTTGTTTCTTTAATTTCATTTTTTTTTTAAATTTCGTTTCTTCAATTTTTCGATTTGTAAGTTTTCGCTTCGTTTCGTTTTTATTCATTGTTTCGATTTTTCAATGTTTTGACTTTATGAGTTTTCTTTTTTCAATGTGAAATTTTTCGCATTCTTCAATTTTTTTAATTAAAATTTTTCAGTTTTCAATTTTTCGATTTTTCAACTTTTAGATTTTTAGTCTTTCGTTTCTTTAATTTGTGATTTGCAATTTTTCTAGTTTTCATTTTAATTTGTAATATGTAATTATTTTTAAAATTTTTCACTTTTCACTTATACGATTTTAAAATTCTTATAATTTTTGGATTTTTCAATATTCCGATTTAGTATTTTCTTGTTCTTCCAATTCCAATTTTTCGTTTAAAGATGTTTTGAAATTTCCAGTTTTAATTTTTCATTTCTGTTTTTTATTTTCTTTACTTTTACAATTTTTTGTTTTTTCAATTTCACTTTTTTCAATTTTTCGTTTCTTCAATTTTTCGATTTGTAAGTTTTCGTTTCGATTTATTATTCAATTTTTCAATTTTTCGATTTTTCAATGTTTTGATTTTGTTACATTTTTAAATTTTTTGTTTCTTTAATTTGTGATTTACAATTTTTCTAGTTTTCATTTTAAATATGTAAAAATAATTTGTAAAATTTCCCCTTTTCAATTTTACGGTTTTAGAATTTTTACAATTTTTAGAAGTTTCAATTTTCCGATTTAATATATTTATTTCAATTTCAATTTTTCGTTTAACTGTTTTGAATTTTTCCCCTTTTAATTTTTTTTTTTAATTTGTGATTTGCAATTTTTCTAGTTTTCATTTTAAATATGTAATAGCAGTTTTTAAAATTTTCCATTTTCAATTTTATGATTTCAGAATTTTTACAATTTTTCGATTTTTCAATATTCAGATTTAATATTTTTTGTTTTTTCTATTTTCGATTTTTTATTTAATGTTTCAACTTTGATTTTTCTTTTTTCAATCTGAAATTTTTCAATTTTCGAATTGTTCAATTTTTTTAATTCCAATTTTTCAGTTTTCAATTTTTCGATTTCCCAACTTTTAGATGTTTTAATTTTTCGTTTCTTTAAATTGTAATTTGCAAATTTTATATATGTAATACTAATTTTTAAAAAGTTTCACTTTTCAATTTTACGATTTTAGAATTTTTACAATTTTTTGATTTTTCAATATTCCGATTTTAGATTTTGTTTTTCAGTTCCCATTTTTCGTTTCGGTTTTTTATTCAATTTTTCGTTTATTCAATTTTTCCTTTTACTATATCCTAATTTTAAAACTTCTTTTTTTGAAATTTTTCAATATTTGGATTTTTCTATTTTCTGATTCGCAATATTTCGGTTCTCAATTTTTCTATTTCTCAACTTTTAGGTTTTTTACTTTTGTTTTTTTTTCAATTTTAAATTTTCAGTTTATCGATTTTTCAATTTTCCGTTTCTTCAATTTGTCATTCGCAATTTTTTAATTTTCATTTTAAATGGAAAAATATGTAAGTAATTATGATTTTTAAAATTTGCCACTTTTTCAATTTTACGATTTTACAATTTTTCAGTTTTTCAATTACCTACTGCAATTTAAAATTTTTTCATAACTTTCATTTTTCAATTTTTCGATTTTAAATATTTCAAATCTCCAACTTCAATTTCTCAATTTTTCGATCTTTCAGTGATACAGTTTTTCGAATTTAAAATCTTGACGATTCTATTCAATTCTACAATTTTTGAATTTTCCAATCTTTCGATTCATTGATTTTTTCGATTTTTAAGTTTTTCGATTTTTCAATTTTTCGTTTCTTCAATTTGTAATTCGCAATTTTTTTAATTTTCATTTTAAATAGAAAAATATGTAAGTAATTATGATTTTTAAAATTTGCCACTTTTTCAATTTTACGATTTTACAATTTTTCAGTTTTTCAATTACCTACTGCAATTTAAAATTTTTTCATAACTTTCATTTTTCAATTTTTCGATTTTAAATATTTCAAATCTCCAACTTCAATTTCTCAATTTTTCGATCTTTCAGTGATACAGTTTTTCGAATTTAAAATCTTGACGATTCTATTCAATTCTACAATTTTTGAATTTTCCAATCTTTCGATTCATTGATTTTTTCGATTTTTAAGTTTTTCGATTTTTCAATTTTTCGTTTCTTCAATTTGTCATTCGCAATTTTTTTAATTTTCATTTTAAATAGAAAAATATGTAAGTAATTATGATTTTTAAAATTTGCCACTTTTTCAATTTTACGATTTTACAATTTTTCAGTTTTTCAATTACTGCAATTTAAAATTTTTTCATAACTTTCATTTTTCAATTTTTCGATTTTAAATATTTCAAATCTCCAACTTCAATTTCTCAATTTTTCGATCTTTCAGTGAAACAGTTTTTCAAATTTACAATTTTTGGATTTTCCAATCTTTCGATTCATTGATTTTTTCGATTTTTAAGTTTCTCGATGTTTAATTTTTCGGTGTTTCGATTTTGCGTTTCTTCAGGTCTTCGATTTGCAATGTTTCGATTTTTCAGTCTTTCAATTTTTCAATTTTTTCCAATATTTTAGTTTTTCGACTTTTCAACTTTTCGAATAAAAAAAGGGAAAAAGTTGTAAAATTGAAAAATGAAAAACAAAAAAGTATAAAACGAAGACTTTGGAAATTCTAAAAACTGGAAATCAAAGGACTGAAAAATTGAAAAAGTGCAAAATCGAAAAAACGAAAATTTATTGCAAAAATCGAAATACAGAAAATTAAATAAATCGGAAAATCGAATAATTGAAAACCGAAAAATATCAAAAACTGGATCAAGGAATTGAAAAATCAAAGATTGAA